CCAATTAAATGGTAACACAACCGAAAAGCCCCCCCAAACTCCTCCTCCCTTTGTGTAAAAGCATAAAAGGCATCTGTTTAAGGAAATCAGAGCCTCTGAATGTACTCCGCTGTGTCGGCTGTCGATAGAGGCCCAGGCTCGAGCTTGTAAATAAAGACCCTCTTGAACTTTCATCGGAATTGGCTCTTGGTGGTCTCTCGGATTGAACTTTCGGCCACTACACTATAAGGCACCACTCCTACCTCCTTCATGAAAACACTAGCCCAAAATGTCAATTGTGCTGATATTGAGAAAAAAAGAAAGGGAAAAAAAGAATAAACACCAAATTGTTAACTTTTTCTTTACATATCTGTGTCTGGCTGGTTACAGTGTGCATTTATTTTGACAACTGGGAATTATCCTAAAAAGACGTAATATTCAATAAAGTTTATTGTCTTGGCAAAGACAATGATGGAGCAGGAGTGGCAGATAGTTTCCCAAGGAGACCTGAGGGGCAGAGGAATGTATGGAGAGCAGAGGAAGCTGGAGGCAGCAGGGAATGGGTGGGGATGCCCACTTGAGAGTCTGGTCCTGACCTGGAGCTCACCTATACAATCTGAATAATCCCAGGGTGAGACTGAGGTTTTCCTGAACCAGATAAGGGCCTGCAAACATTTCCTATTATTAGGCAATGAGAGTGAGAAACAGGCTTAATCTCAATTTCCATTTTATAGCCTGGAATAAACCCTCTATGGTCTGGCAGCAGGGAAAGACCATACATCAGAGCTGAATATCTCACAGGTCTGCTGAGTTGGTAGGTGTTCCTTAGGGAAAGGTTTTGTGGTCAATTCAGATAAGGAAACTCTAGCTTAAACTACAGGTAAATTAAAATGATCCTTGCTGCAGGTCTAACTAATCTTTAATATGTTAGTGTGCATCTCCAAGAGGGTAGTCATCAAGTGCAGGACTTCCTTGTCTTCACAACGTTCTTTTTTTGAGATAGTTTCTTCAGACTTGAATTCCATGGAATACACTTCAGGAAATATTAACCTAGTCTAATCATAGTTTTACTGCTGAGAAAACCATGGCCAAAAGGAGAGAAAGTGACTGACAGAGCTTGCTGGTAGGCTGTTTTCCAGAATAATTCTTTCCCCGGCCCCACCAAACGTCTAACTACAGGCACAAATGAACTACAGATCCTTGGGGAATATTCCTCAGAATTTTTTCCCCCAATTTAATTGGGGGTGGGAGGTTTGCAGTGGAGGTAAGGAAGAAGGGAGTAACAGTGGAAGTCATTCAAAGCAAAACCCACCTTTATTTTCTATTTTTTATTTTTTTAGGGACAGGGTCTTGCTCTGTCACCCAGGCTGGAGTACAGTGGTATGTTAGTATCTCACTGTAACCTCAAACTTTTGGGCTCAAGTGATCCTCCCACCTCAGCCTCCCGAGTAGCTGGGACTACAGTCATGTGTCACCACACCTGGCTAATTTTTCTATTTTTTGTAGAGACAGGATATCACTATGTTGCTGGAAAGCTCACCTTTAGAGGAGATCAAGAAATTTTTGGCCTCAGGATAAAGGCCATTTTTTTCTTGGTAGAGGGGGCACTCAGGAAGACCAGATGTGCTCCTGTAAAGCAATGCTTCACCAGGTTCTTTTGAAAATATCATAACTTGCATGGGACATGTGGGAACATCTTTAACCTTTTTCAAGTTGCCCTCATGGGGCCAGGAGAAGCCCTATAAACTGATTTTGCATATTCTGTCCAAGGAGTTAAATTTACTAAAAATTACTCAATACTATTATATGCCAGGCCTCTGCGAGGAACTGATGATTCAACGATGAATGGAGCATAATCCCCTCTCCAAAGAAATTTCTATCTGGTAGGGAAACAAAGATGCTGCCTGCAACCGGGTTGTACCAACCATGTGAATCAAGCCAGGAGTTGATGTTGGGGACAGCATTTCCAAATGCTCTCGGAGGATGCTTCACCTTGCTAAGAAATTTGCACACACCTTAGCCTGTGGGCAATGGCAAACTATGGGGGTAAGTTTTCCGTTTCAAAGAGGGCACTCTGTACACAGCAGGTTCTGTGACTCCATTTCCCATTATGGACTCTCTTTCCTGCTCCTCCTCCTCTGATAACCTTGAGGAGTGGCCATCTCCTCCCCCCACATCAGGGACCTGCGTCTGGACCCAACATCCTCCCCTTCGCAACTGCAACAGAAGTCGATGCTAGGACTGCGGTAGGTCCCGTCCAGGTTCCAGGAGGGTGGGCTCAGGAAAGCGACAAGTCCGTAATGGCTTAGGCACCGCACGGCGAGCCAGCATCGGATGAATTAGGAGCTCACTCTTAAGTCATTTGGGGGTTCAGCAAGTCTCTTGACAGATGGGGACTTGATGATTTCCATCAACAGCCTCCACGTTTGCTGAACACGACTATCAGGCAAGACACACTGCAACAGCCCGTGGTTGGGACACCGAGTTCCAGGGATGCAAAACAACTTGCCCACATCGCAGCATCGCTAAAGAGCAAAAGCGGAAGAGCTTCGCTTAAGCACCAGGCCTTCTAGCCTCCGAGGCGGCACCGCGCTGGAAGCGAGGCAGAGCTGGGCATGCTCAGTTCCCTCTCCTTCCTCCCCCACTCTCTCCCGTGGAGTGATGGGTGGGAAGGAAGCGGAAAACTGACCGGGAGGAGAAAGAAGCCCGCCCCGGAAGTCCCGCCTGTCTCCGCGGCTTGTCCCCGGAAGTGTTGTTGCTTGTCGTGAGTGTGATGGCTTCAAGGTTACTTCGCGGAGCCGGAGCGCTGGCCGCGCAGGCCCTGAAGGCCCGCGGTCCTAATGGGGTGGTCGCGGTGCGCTCCATGGCATCTGGAGGTACTCGGCTTCCTGGACGCGCCAGGGACCAGCGTCGTTGCCCTTCCGGGATGGTCCCGGGACAGCAAAGCGAGGCGGGCCGGGCAGCTCCTCGGGGCCCCCGTGACCACCTCAGGGTCCCGAGTACCTCGGGCTCCGCAGACGTTTTCCTGTGATCCCGGGCTGCCGCTGTGGCCGCCCGCCGAACTACTCCGCTACGAAATTCCCCCAGACAGAGGTGTCGGGTGACCTTGGGGGGGGCAGGGGCTGCAACCGGGATGGAGAGGGGCCCCGCCGCCCTTCACACTTGCGCCCACCTCAAGCCGAATGGTTTCTGGCCTTCTTTTAGATAGAAGAGTGTCGAAAAGTTGGTTTCGGTGGCTGGAGAAAGAAGTTTCCCCTAGTGCTGCCGCTTTTGTGGATCGTGACTTGGTGGTCTTTAGGGGACCATGGATATGAGTAGCTTTTGGGAGCTTGTGAGCCCACAGAAACTCATGCAGAAGTTTAAGTGGGGCACTCCGACTTGATCATTTTCGTGTGTGTTCCTCTCATGATCATTTCGTTGACATCATAATTCACTGTCTTCCTTTAGGTGGTGTTCCTACTGATGACGAGCAGGCGACTGGACTGGAGAGGGAGGTCATGATGGCTGCACGGAAGGGACTGGTGAGGAGAAACGACCTCCTATGGCTTTGGGAGCGTATGGGATCAGAGTATTCTCCAGTCAGAGCATTTGATCCGGGAGGCTTGGCTTGTAGGAGCTGCCCCTGTGCCGCTGGAGGGCAGGGGCTCTGTTATAATAGCTAAATTCTTTTTTTTTTTTTTTTTTTAGGACCCATACAATATACTACCACCAAAGGCAGCTTCAGGCACCAAGGAAGACCCTAATTTAGTCCCCTCCATCACTAACAAGCGAATAGTGGGCTGCATCTGTAAGTGCCTCACTTGTGTTTTCTTACCATTTGTTTAATATATCCTCCTATATGGGAGGTATACAAGCTGCTCCAGATTTTTCATGTGTGCAAGTGCTTGTTTGTAAATAGGTTGTTTTGAGGGTCCTGGCTATCTCGCCCCATCATGCCTTGTTGGCAAGAGGCACAGAACAGCAGTAAGACTGGCTCACTGGAGGAATATATTTCTTCCAGAAAATGTTATTGTACTGTTTCTATGCCAGGCACTGTTTTAGGCATTAGGATGTACATCAAAATGGACCCTACTTTGGGATTGTTTGTTGGCAAGGGGATTGTTAGAATTTCCAGTGACCCTGCTGTAAGCTCAGTTTAGTCAGAGGTAAACTCAAGGCCTTAACTTCTTCAACTGAAAAATGGGAAGGAGAGTTTGAACTGATCTCTTAAGATTATCAACCATGGTTTTATGTGTATCTTAGAGGTGTCTGAGGAAAAGAAGTTAATGTAGAAAGTGTCCATTTCTGACCCTACATCCTTTAAATAAAAATAATAATAAAGACTTTTTATTACCAAAAAAGAGAAAGTGTCCATTTCTAGGCTGGGTGACTTTCAACCCCCCCTTTTCCTTTTAGGTGAAGAGGACAACAGTGCCGTCATCTGGTTCTGGCTGCACAAAGGCGAGACTCAGCGATGCCCTAGCTGTGGAACCCATTACAAGCTGGTGCCCCATCAGCTGGCCCACTGAGCCCTTGCATTAGCTTCTGAAAATGTGCTGTAACATTTCTTCTTTCCAATAAAGACTAGCCATGCTGTTGGCTCCTCCCGTAGGTGGCTGGTCATCTTTTCTGTATTTTTGGATAGGCATGGAGTATTCTTGTATTGGAGAGAGCTATCTGTTAATATTGGCTTGTCATCTATGTACTTAATGCGTACAACGAGTGTCCAGTGCTTAGATTAATAATGAAAATAGATTGATACCCCATAATGCAGTGATTGGAACCACCTGGTACTAGGGAAAAGGGTGGGCTGTGGAGTCACTAATTGGACTTGTAATATTGGCTCCATCACTTGGTGATGCCACCATGGACATGGTCTCTGAGGGTCAGTTACATCTACAAAAAGATAAATATTTTGTGAGTGTTGAAGAAATACATGTAAAGAGCCTGGAACATAGTAGGCCTCCATAGTATCATTATAGAGAGTGGCCTTGTGAGAAGAGTTTTGGGGACTTTGAAGTCTTGAGGGACCCAGGTTCAAAGCAGAAGTTCATGGGTATACCAGCAGTAAAATTAAAAATACCAGGCAATTCCAGAAACCAATGACTTTGCTCAAATAAATTGCAAGGAGTGGGGGGAAGAAAGGGAGAACCTATATAGATTGAAACAGATACGGGAGATACCAACCAACAGCATGTACATCTTGTTTAGATCTGGATTTGAAAAAATTGTAAAGGAAAAAAAAGTTTGAACTCTGAATTTTTTTTTTTTTTTGAGTTGGAGTCTCACTCTGACGCCCAGACTGGAGTGCAGTGGCCGCTCCCGGCCACCGCAGCCTCGACCTGCTGGGCTCCGGTGATCCTCCCGCCTCAGCCTTCCAAGTAGCCGGAATTACAGGCATGCGCTACTACGTCCGGCTGATTTTTTGATTTATTGTAGAGATGAGGTCTCGCTGCCCAGGCGGGTCTTGAACCCGCGGGCTCAGGCAATCCACTAACCTCAGCCTCCCAAAGGCGCGGGATTACAGACTGAGCCACTGAGCCCGGCTGAACTCTGAATATTTGATATTTAAGCATTTATTAATTTTTTAGTGTTTATAGTTTTTTTTGTAACGCTTTAGCAATACATATGGAAATATAAGTTGGAGAAGGCAAAACACCAAAAAAGCCCACTTCAGCCACTGTATACTTATGATACCTTAAGACGAGTTCTCAAAAATGTTTTATCTATAAAATGGAAATACCTTTTCATTTTGTATTGAGATTAGTAAAAAGTGGCTATTTAATAGGTGACTGTGGGCATCCCCACAAAATTGGTCTAAACTAGATTTCCCAGTGTGAGCTGATGATAGGAGAGTCCGAGAGAAAAGCCCCTCTTCCCACCCTACCTTGCCTTACCCCATCAGGAAGGTGTAGTCAGAGCTATTGGTTCCATTCATTGTTGGCAATCATTAACTTTGTTTCCAGGAACTTTCGCCCAAACACTGGTCTGCCATTTCAGATCCTTTCCTCTGGGAAGAATCCCATCCTTCCATGGCCACCTATTAGATCTACCCCCTACGCTCCCACTTTAAACGCGGTTCTAAGTGTTTCCCAATAGCTGTATCCTAAAGATTGGTCTGGTGCTGCCACTAAGCCTTCCCGACTAGCTGACCTGCATTTCAAGTCCTCTGCTTAGGGAGAGGTTTTTTTTTTTTGAGTGGAGTCTCACTCATCGCCCAGGCTGGAGGCTGGAGGCTGGAGTGTACCTCAGCCTCGACCTACTGGGGTTGGGTGATTCTTTTGCCTCCGCCTTCCTAGTAGCCAGAACTACAGGCACGTGCTACCATGCCCGGCTAATTTTTTGATTTATTGTAGAGATAAATCACCATGTTGCCCAGGCTTGTCTCAAACCCTCGAGCTCAGGCAGTCCTCTCGCCTCCACCCCTCAAAGTGCTGGGATTATAGGCTTGAGCCACCATGCCCAGCCAGGGGGAGCTTTTGGTTCCCCACAAAAGTCCAGTCTGTCTTCCCTCACTTCCAAGTCTTCTGTGCCCTTTTTTTTTTTTTTTTTTTGAACTGTAGTCTCACTCTGTCGCCCAGGCTGGAGTGTAGTGGCACACTCAGCCACCTCAGCGTTGACCTACTGGGCTCCTGCTGGGCTCCGGCGATCCTTCAGCCTCAGCCTTTCAAGTAGCCAGAACTACAGGTACGTGCTACCATGCCCGACTAATTTTTTTTTATTGTAGAGATGAGGGCTTGCCAAGTTGCCCAGGCTGGTCTTGAACCCGCTGGCTCAGGCAATCCACTCGACATGGCCTCTCATAGTGCTGGGGATTACAGGGTGAGCCACCAAGCCCGGCCTCCCCTGTGCTGCTTTCCCCTCTTTTTTCTTTTTTTTGAGTTGGAGTCTCACTGTCGCCCAGGCTGGAGTGCAGCGGCACTTTGACCCATTGCAGCCTCAACTGGTGGGGCTCAGGCAATCCTGTTTCAGCCTTCTAAGTAGCTGGAACTACAAGTGTACACCACCACGCCTGGGTAATTTATTTTTATTTATTGTAGAGACGAGATCTCACCAAGTTGTCCAGGCTGGTTTCGGAACCCCTGGGCTCAGGAAATCCTCTTACCTCTGGCTCCCAACGTGCTGGGATTGCAGGCCTGAGCCACTGCGCCCAGCCTCCTTTTTAAATTGTGTTTATTATTTTTAAAAATAGAGATGGGGTTTCTCACTGTATTGCCTAGGTTGGTCTCAAACTCCTGGCCTCAAGCCATCCTCCTACCTTAGCTTCCCAAGGTGCTGGGATTACAGGCATGAGCTACCATGCTTAGCCCTCTTTTCATTTTAAAATTTTAACCAATTCACTCATAAAGATGGTGGTAGGCAGAATAATGGTTCTCCCAAAGATGTCCATATCCTAGTCCCCAGAACATGTGAGTATGTTAGATCATACAGCAAAAAAGAATTAAGACTGCAGATGGAATTAAGGTTGTTAATCAGTTGACCTTAAAATATGAAGATTGGGCCGGGCTCAGTGACTCAGTCTGTAATCCCAGCACTTGGGGAGGCCGAGGCGAGTGGATTGCCTGAGCCTGCAGGTTCAAGACCAGCCCGGGCAACTTGGCGAGACCTCGTCTCTACAATAAATAAAAAATAAGCCGGGCGTGGTAGCACATGCCTATAGTTCTGACTACTTGGAAGACTGAGGTGGGAGGATCATCAGAGCCCAGCAGGTCGATGCTGGGGTGGTCGTGAGCATGCCACTGCACCCCAGCCTGGATGACAGAGTGAGACTCCAACTAAAAGAAGAAAAAGTCTGAAGATTGGCCTGGCACAATGGCTCACACCTGTAGTCCTAACACTTTGAGAGGCTGAAGTGGGAGGATTGCTTCAGTCCAGGAATTCAAGACCAGTTTAGGTAACACAGATCTCATCTCTACACAACAAAAAACAAAAACCAAACTAGCCAGGTGTGGTGCACACAAGCTATAGTCCCCACTACTCAGGAGACTGAGGTAGAAGAATCACTTGAGCCCAGGAGGTCAAGGCTGCCCTGAGCCAAGATGGTGCCACTGCACTCCACCCCGGGTGACAGTGAGACCCTAACTCCAAAAAAACAAAAGCCCCAGAGATTATCCTGGATTATCCAGGTAGGTCCAAAAAGCACAAGGGAGGCAGGAGGGAGAGATGTGACTATGGAAGAATGGTCAGAGAGATGCAATGCTGCTGGGTTTTGAAGATGGAGGAAGCGGGGCATGAGCCAAGGAATGCAAATAGCCTCCAAAAGCTGGGAAAGGCAAGTCTCCAGAAAGGAACAAAGCCCTGCTGGCAATGACTTCAGCCCAGTGAGACCCATGTTCTACTTGTTTAAATTTTTTTGAGACAAGGTTTCCCTCTGTTAGCCAGGTTGGAACACAGTGGTATGATCATGGTCCAAGGCAGTCTTGAACTCCTAGGCTCAAGTGATCCTCCTGCCTCAGCCTTCTGAGTAGCTGGGCTACAGGCATGCACCACCATGCCAGATACTTTTTCTATTTTTTGTGGAGACGAGGTCTCACTGTGTTGCCCAGACTGGTCTCAAACTCCTGGGCTCAAACAATCCTGCCTCGACCTCCCAAAGTGCTGGGATTGACAAGTGTGAGCCACGGTGCCTGGCCAGGGTTTCACAGAACTAGAATCAATTATTGTTATCTTAAGCCACTAAGTTTGTAATAATTTTTTATGGCATCAGTAGGAAACTAACACACAGATCAGTAAATTCAATACCCATCTCCTGGGATAGTGGGTCTCAAATTTAGCTGCCCATTAGAATCACTTGGGGATCTTTTATTTATAACTCCCAGTGCCCAGGCCACACCTAGAGCATTAAAGCAGAGTATCCTAGGGTGGGACCCAGCATCCAAATTTTAATGTTCCCCAGGTGCTTTTAGCAGGAAGGCTGAGAACCTCTGCTTAGGGCTATATAAAAATGAATAGCTAATTTCTTTGCCTTTGGGGGCAGGGATGAAATGTAATGTCTCCCTCTAGGAGGACAAACCTTAGCTCTTGGGCAGAAGTGGGCTCCATCTAAACCTCTGGCCACTTAGTAGCTTAGAAACTGGATCCCATCTTCCCTCTCCCAAGGAAGAATACAGGCCTCACTCCAATGATATTTATTACACTACAAGTACAGAATAAAGACTTTTTTCTCAGGGCCATTTGAGAGTAAGTTAGTTGCTGATCTGATGCCCTACCACACTCAAGAATGTATTTCTTAGAAAGACATTCTCTTAATACTCACATGACCATCAAAATCAGGAAAGTACGACTTCTCATCTCATACTCTATTCAAGTTTTGCTAAAAGTTCCAATGAGGACTTCTACAGTGAAAGGATCCATTCCAGAATCATGTGCTGCCTCTGGTTGTTCCCACCTGGATTAGTTTCTCAGTATTTCCTTGGCTTTCCTGACTTGACACTGAGAAATTTATACCAATAACTTGGGTTTGTGTTTCATGACTAGATTGTTGCACATCTCGGGCGAGTGATATTGACTTGTCCCATTGCTGATGAAGGTCACTTTGATCACTTGATTAAACTCATGTTGGCCAAACTTCACTGTGAGGTTGTTCTTTGATCATTAAGTATCTTATGAGGTAATGCTATGAGATGTCAATACCTTGGTCCTCATCAAGCTTTTGATTTAAATTAGCTTTGGTTCTCCTATCTATACTTTCTTATTATAATCCACGACTATCATTGTTTTTTGATGTTTCATTGTTCCAAATCTTCAAGTGTCCCCTGTGGCCTTTGGACATGCCCTTCTCATTCTTTGGGCACTACTTTTTATATCCTGGCACAAAATGTTCCTGGCTCATCTTCCAGGCTGTTAATAAAGCCATGAGGTAGATGTTATTATTATCACCCCCATGGCAGTGATGAGGAAACCCAGGAACAAGAATGCAGGATCATGCAGCCTGCAGTTTGTGATGGCAGGATTGTGACCCCAGACTGTTTAGCTCCAGAGTCTAAGCTCTTCTTCCCATCAGTTTTTATTTTAAAATTATTTTAAACTTAGAGAAAAGTTGCACAAATAGTAGTTTTTTTTTAAAAATCTACTCTCCACCCAGTTTTCCTTAATGTTAACATCTGACATTGCCATTATAAATTATTATTATTAATGTATTGAGTTAGAGTCTCACTCTGTCACCCAGGCTGGAGTGCAGTGGCACAATCATGGCTCACTGCAGCCTCAGCCTCCTGGGCTCAAGTGATTCTCCTGCCTCAGCCTCTCAAGTAGCTGGGACTACAGGTACATGCCACCACACAAGGCTAATTTTTATTTTTATTTTTTGTAGAGACAAGGTCTTGCTATGTTGTCTAGGTTGGTCTCGAACTCCTGGGCTCAGGTGATCCTTCTGCCTTGGCTTCCCAAAGTGCTGGGATTACAGATGTAAGCTACTGTGCCAGGCCTGCCCTAGTCAGTTATTGAAACCAAGAAGTTAACACTGAGGTAGTACTCTTTCTTTTTTTTTTTTGAGTTAGAGTCTCACTCTGCCGCCCAGACTGGTGTGCAGTGGCCGCTCCCAGCCTCAACCTGCTGGGCTCCGGTGATTCTTCTGCCTCAGCCTTCCAAGTAACTGGAACTACAAGCATGTGCTACCACGCCCGGCTAATTTTTGATTTATTGTAGGGATGAGGTCTCACCAAGTTGTCCAGGCGGGTCTTGAACCCGTGGGCTCAGGCAATCCACTCACCTTGGCCTCCCAAATGCTGGGATTACAGGCTGAGCCACCAAGCCTGGCGTGGTATTACTCTTAACTAATCAACAGCCCCCTTACCAGGGTTTTGCTGGCTTTCCTGGTAAGGTCTTTTTCCAATCCAGGATCTCACACTGCACTTGGTCTATGTTTTCATAACCTGTCACTTTTGAAGAGAACTGACCTATTAATTTGTAAACCCTGTCCTCAGCTTGGGTTTGCCTGTGGCTTTTGTTAGACTGAGGTGATGCAAGAGTTTTACAGTGAGATTGGGCCCCCCTTAGAAGAGAATCATCAAGACAACCCTTATTACTTGAAAGTTTCCTCTACTATAAAGCTACTATTTTCCTTTTGCAGTTAAGTATCTTTAATATTGCAGGGAGATACTTTGAGACAGTGCAAATACCCCTATTTTTGCCCAGTGATTTTTGCATCTATTCTTGCCTGCAACAGTGATCACTGTGGTATATGCCCAATGGCGATTTTCTTTTTCCATTATTCCTTTCACATTAATTGGAATTCCACTGTAAGAGAGAGCTGTATATAGTTATTAAGCATATGTATATATTTGTTCAGTCATTTATTTATACCAGTATGACTCACAAATATTTTATGCTATGGCTTATAATCCATTACAGATCGTAGTACTGAGTTGGTTCCTCTGTCCTTTAGACAAGCCTCTTCTTTTTTTGAGTACTTTCTTATTCTTTTTTGAGAGTCTCACTCTGTCACCCAGGATGGAGCTCAGTGGCACAATTATGGCTCACAGCAGCCTCAACCTTCTGGGCTCAGGTGATCCTTCTGTCTTAGCCTCCCGAGTAGCTGGGACTACAGGTATATGCCACCACACCTGGCTAATTTGTTTTGTTTTTTTGTAGAGATGATGTCTCACCATGTTGCCCAGGCTGGTCTCAAACTGCTGGGCTCAAACAATCCTCTCAGCTCAGTCCCACAAAGTGCTGGGATTATAGGCGTGAGCCACCACATCCGGCCACTGGGTACCTTCTTTCTTTATAGTATCACAAGATATTCCAAGCTTATCTTGTATTTTCTCTGTCTTAGGAAATTGGTCCAGAGGAGATATAAGGGCCTCCATTAAGAGGACCAAACCTTTGCTCCTGGGTAGAAGTAGGCTTCATCTGAACCTCTAGCCACTTGGCAGATTGGAAATTGGATCTCATTTCCCTTTTCCAAGGAAGAATATGGGCCTCAGGTATTTACTCAACTATCTGCAAGTACAGAATGAAGACCCTTTTCCCAGAATGATGTCTAGAAACCAAGATCTGGACACGTGCTCATTGCTAGCAGGCCTTCCAAGCAGACAGGGCTTCACTGTTTCTAGGCCTTCCCAGGAGACAGGGCTGGGAAACACACATATAGATTCTGGCACTCACACACAGATGTGTTCATTTCAGCATCTATCTGGTGTATATTAAAACTGTGAGTTCACACTCCTTTCAATTCTTATCCCACACAGGGTTCCTCCTAGCCACACTGCCTGTATCATCTGCAGCCTCTCTCCAGCAGCGAGAAAGCCAGCAGACCCAGAGCTCCTTAATCGTGCTATCTCTGCTGGAAGAGAGGAGGAGGAACACTGCACTGTGCTTTGCCTTAAGGCTGGGATTCTGCAAGACAGAGGTCATTCCCATGGAGAGAGCAGCATGAGTGGAAGCCAGCAGGCAAAGGACACAATAGGTAAGCCTAAAACAGGGAAGAAACAGATCTCAAGGAGCCTGAATCAAATGTAACAGTGTGGTTCATGAAGGTGATTTTACCATCACATCAATTTGGTTTCATGAGTACTAGGTAGATAAGCCTGGAATATTCTTGTGATACCAGCATCACATCAATTTGGTTTCATGGGTGCCAGGGATGGATGAGCAAACAGCAACAGGAAGCAGAGAAGTGCTTGACAGTCTGGAGTAAGGAAGTGCCAGAACCAAGGTTATCTGGGCTTTAGGTGCAAGAGCAGATGGAGTGGGTGAGCAGGAGGATGGAGCTGTCATCATGAGCTAGGGAGGTCATGGCTGTCATGGAAACACAGGGTGGGCGGCCAAGGTACTTCTTACAGAACCACAGGACTTGGTAGCTGATAGCGGGAGGTGAGTACGAGGGAGGAGTCAAGTGACAAGGCTCCAAACCTGGGTTGTTGGGAGTCAGTGGGACCATGGACAGAAGCCTGTGGAAGAGAAAGTCTGGAGGGCACCCTAACAGAGTTCTTGGTGCTGTTTTCCCTTCAAGGGCAGGAACAAGGGTAACCGCCCTGTGACACGAAGCCTTACAAAATGCCCAATGCAGATGGCCTGACTCAGTATTCTCTCTCTGCCTATCTATGTGACTTCCTCCGTCTGCGCCCTCCCTCGCCCCGACCAGCCTCTACTGCCTACCACACTGCTCAGGTCACTACCTTCCCAAGGCTGGCTGTCTGCCTGTCACCCAGGACACGGCTCTCAACCCTCTCAAGGCCCTCTCCAGGCCACATGTCAGACCAACCCATCTTTTTGGTTTCTCTCACACTACAGCCACAGGAGACCACTTACCCATCCCTGCTGAGTAGGCACCGATTGGGTCCACACCCTTTCCTCCTGCCCCACTGGTCCCAGGTGCTTGAGCTCTTACCTCTGTCTGGGACACCTTCCCCTGCCCAGCTAGCCTCTGGGCCCTTACAAGTCAGCCTGCCCCACCTGTTCAGGTAGATGCCTATTTTCCTGACCCCACAGCTCTGTACTGAAATGACCCGTTTTTCTTACTCCCCTGACCTGTATGTTTGCTGAGGTAAGGATATCTCGTCTACCACTGGCTCCAAACACACGGTGCCCTCCCAGACACACTGCAGGTGCTCAAATACTTAATCAAGGAAGAAAACAGCAGATGGTCTCCAAGCTCTCACTTCTCACTGCTCCCTTGGCCCCGCGGCTTTTCTTACCCTGCTTCTCAGACTTTTCTTTCAGTTTGCCCCCGCTTGCCTGAACCGAGGAGCCTGCATCACTGCCGGTCTTGGCTAGCCTTGGCCATGGCTGAGCAGGCATGCAGAGGTGCTCAAACAGAACAGGGTTGCTGCAGATGTACCAAGGTCCTGTCCAGGAACAAGGCAGAAGAAGGCAGCCTTCTTCTCTTCTTCCCTGGTGGGTGGCAGCCTGAGGCGTAGCGAAGCTAGGGAATTATGCTCCAGGGTAAGAGCTGTCCTGCCCACCACTGAAACCTTCATGCTTCTGAGCTAGAGACAGTGCCATGCTGTGTTCTCTCTGATACTTTCTCTGGAAACCCCAGGGATGGATGAGCAAACAACAACAAAAAGAACCGCAAGAAAACAGAGCCACACACTAGGCCTTGTCCATAATTATTACTATAATGATTTACAAAAAAAGTTTTTCAGGCAACTGTGTTAAATTATTGTACATATCTGGGAGAGGGAGGTGGGGCCCTGGCCATAGCCAAAGTGACGACCTCTTTCTTGGGGAGGTGAGACAAGGACACCCGCCCCCTTCAGGTCTGACTCCTGATCAAGTGGCTTCCCCTTAATAAATGAAGACCATTAACCTTTCCTTGTCCAGGGTTCTGGGGTAAAGAAGAGGGAACAGCAAGAAAATGAAGTGCTTTGATGGGGAGAGTGTGACCAACTGCGACCACTGTGCATCCTCTGTCTTGGCTCTGAAGGGTATGACCCAGGCCACACCCCCTCGCTGGGGACGGAAGACTACCTAGCACTCAGCCCTACACTAGGGCACCTGCCCAGGAAGATGGGAAGACAGAGTGTGGAAAGGTCTAGGCTGCCCTGTAGGGTCAGCAGGAGGAGGTGGCAATGGACGCACTGGCGGGAGCTGCTGGTCGCCCCTCCCCTATCCTACTCCCCAAGGCTAGTTACACAGCATCCAGGCACTGTGGCCCTGAGAGCTCGGGAAAGCAGCCCCAAGAGTCAGAGCAAGGAACCACAGGCATAACTGGCCCTGCCCAGGAGGACACCAAGAACGACGCAACACTGGGCTTCTCAACTCCTATGCTCCAGCCCAAGGCTCTCATCCATGCAGCTAAATGTTAACTGTGTGTGTGTGTGTGTGTGTGTGTGTGTGTGTGTGTGTGTGTGTGTATGTAGAGGGGATGGCTGCAGGGGAGCACTGCTGCACCACCTGCCCGGGGGTCAGGGCATGCAGGGGACCCTAAGCCTAGTATATGAGCCCAGCCCCAAACAGGTTAGGGCTCTGGCTCCCCTTTCCTCCCATTCTCCCAACAGGCTCCACCCTCCCTGGGCACTAGAAGGTTTTGCGATGAATAGCACGGGCGCCATCCTCTTCATACTCCTTTTTGGACACCCACATCTTCTTAAAAGTGTCCAGTGAGGCCAGGATGGAGCCACTGTGAGGAGAAGGGACAGCATTCTTGCGGACTTGTGGTATGAGCCGACTGCCTTCCCTGGGCACTCAGAGCTCCAGCTCCCTTACCTGGGAGGGAAATCCACCCACCTCCACCTGGTCTGGGACAGCCCTGAGAGAAGCGTCCAGGGCAAAGCGGTCTCTTCCCAGAGCCCTCCCCTTGAGCCCCACCTCACCCAATCCATGTGGAGTACAGCCGTTCCTGAGGGGCCGAGATCTAGAGGGAGAGAGTGGCCATGTAACTGCCTGGTCCCACATGGCAGCCATTCCCTGGCCTTAGGGGTACTTTCCCCTTGCTGTCTGCAGCAAGGACATCAGTTGGGAGGAGTGGGAGTAGCCACAACAGGAGAAGCAGGGCTGGATGGACGGACTTGAAGGGGTCTGGAGGCAGCAGGTACCCTTCCACCCTGGGCCAAGGCTGCCCAGTACCCCATGCCCCAGGGGCCTTCCCGCAACCTCACCTTGATTTTGACATCCTTTGGTGCAAGCTTCTTCACTTCACTTAGCAATCGGTCGCCAAAGCCTGTGAACACAAGGGTGGCTGGACCTGGGATCTACGTCTGACCTCCTGCTACTAGCTCCTGCATCCAGTCCTCAGTGTCCCCCAGCTGCTGCTATCCACTCTAGGATTAAGGGCAGGGCAGGCACCCTCCCAAGGGAAGAAATGATCCTGTACCATGGCTGCTGGTGGGCCCAGCGTTCTCAGAGAGGCAATGTGAAATGGAGCCCCCCACCATCCAGTCCCACCTGACCCACACACTCCCCATTCAGTACTCTACGATGCATCTTGGACTTCATGTAAACATATCCTCTGTTCACAGAGTAAATACATTTTTTTTTTTGAGTCAGGGTCTCACTTCATCACCCAGGTTGGAATGCGGTGGCACAATCATAGTTCACTGCAGCCTCAAACTCCTGGGCTGAAGAAATCCTCCTGCCTCAGCTTTCCAAGTGGCTAGGACTTTAGGCACATGCCACCAGGCCTAGCTGATATTTTTATTATCTGTAGAGACAAGGTCTCACTATGTTGCCTAGGTTAGTCTCGAACTCCTGGGCTCAAGCAATCCTTCTGCCTCAGCCTCCATGCTGGGATTACAGGTGTGAGCCATCGTGCCTGGCCATAAGTGCAGTTTAACTTCAAATCTTAGTCTTTAAAAAAACTGCTCATTGAGCACCACCAAAAAGCCAGTCGAAAATGCCTCTTGGGAGCAAGGAGGAGCCTCTGAGAGGACTGCTGCCCGTGGTTTCATCTTTCTACCACCTCCCAAGCCACAGTACCTTTGAAAAGCGTTGAGCCCCCCGAGAGCACGATGTTGGCAAACAGTGTCCGGCGCAGGTCCATATCGGATTTGTGGATGGCAAAGGCCAGCACCTCATGGAGCCCTTCGCTCTCGTCCCCCACCAGGTCTGGCTGGAAGAGCAGCTCGGGAGCCCGGAATCGTGCAGGTCCCACCTGTGGAGCACAAGATTGAGGCAGACAGGCTCCCCAGGGAAGCCAGGTCTCCCCTGCCTCCAGGCCCAGCATCAGCTGCCACCCCAATGTCAGGCCTGGTCACTTACATCGAGCATGCTGCCGTCTGGCAAGGTGTACTGCACCTTCTCTGTCTCCAAAGCCTCATCTTTCTGCGGGTTGATGGACAGGTAGCAGGCCCGCTGTGGGAGTATGCACACAACCCTCAGAAGGCTGCCACTGGGACACCACAGCCCAGGGCTCAACCTTGCCTTGGTTCCACCCCGCCTTTCCCCACCCCAGGTCCTGTTCACGTGCTCCTGCCCATCATCACCTCTTTGATGGTCCGGACAACCTCAAACTCAGCTGAGGTGTGAAAGTCAACCCCTTCCTTGCGCAGCAGCAGCCGGAGATAGCGGGAAACATCACGGCCGGCAATGTCCACCCGCATGATGGAGTGTGGCATGGCAAAGCCCTCATAGATGGGGACAGCGTGAGTGACCCCGTCTCCTGAATCTAAAACCACTCCTGTCGTGCGTCCTGTTGCATACCTGTCACCAGGTCAGCATCCCCTCGCCTCAGCCACTGAGGCACGGGGACCTCCTCACCCCTGGAAAGGACCCTGGGACATTTGCGTTATCTAGTCAGAAAAAGGGTCACGAGGGACTCTCTAAAGAAGAGTCATCAAGGGGCTGTTTTTCTAGGGAAGTCAGACACCTGGTCATTGTGAGCTGGAGGACGGCATAGGGAGGATGGGGACTCGGGACTCCAGGGCTTAGGGAGCACTCACAGACTGAGCACGGCCTGCATGGAGATAAACAGGGCTGGCACATTGAAGGTCTCAAAGAACACCTCTGCTGCCTTCTCACGGTTCTTACTTGGGTTGAGTGGAGCCTCCGTTAGAAGAATAGGATGCTAGGAGAGATGGAAGGGTTGTGGGCATGCGCAAAGGCAACATGCTAGGCCCTGAAGGGAACTTTCCAGAGAGCCAATCTGGAAAGTAGTTGCAATCTCCTGTTCTTCCTGAGGGCACCATCCTGTTATCTGCAGGCAGTTACTCTTCCAAGGACCAGGTTGTCTCTGGAAAATTCTACCGGGCAGCCACTGGCTGTGTTCATACACCCAGACACACAATGGAAAGGCAGCAGGCCTCTCAAAGCACAGAGAGGAGACATGGGAGCCCGACCAGGGAAAATGCAGAGCAGAGAGGTCACAGCAGGGAGAATTCAGAGCCTGGCGGGAGGAGCTGGCTGCCACACCTCCTCAGAAAAGGTCTGCAGCTGATCCTTGGAGTAGACGTACTGCCAGATGCGCTCCATGTCGTTCCAGTCTCGTACCACACCATGCTCCATGGGGTAGCGGATAGCCAGCAGCCCCCGGTGTTCCTGGGGAGGGATGGGAAGGCCAGATGTGGCAGTGGGCCCTCACCGAGCAGCTGCTTTCTGCCTTCCTAGCTGAGGACCAGAGAGGGTGGCAAGGAGGCCCATCTCACAGTCCCCCCTTTCCCCCACAGCCACATGCTTCCATTCTCCCTTTAGTGCATCCTCCCCATTCCTTCCTTGCATGCTGCCCAGCTTCCATCAAATCACTTCCTGTCAGCACCTGCACCTCACCTCCTTGTGCCTTACCCAACCCGGCCTCTCCTGTAGTCACCTGTGCCCGCAGTCCTCTCTGCCTCTCCTCCCAGCCCTTAGCCAGTCCCTGCACCCACATGCTGCCTCCGCCTGCCCTCCAAGGCCCCCATCTCGCTCCTTCACCCACCTCAGCTTCTGCTCATCCCATCTCCTGAGAGCCTCACACCTACACCTCCAGCTCAGGCCTTCTCTTCCTGAGCCCAGGACCACCACCCCACGACCCATGCTGTGTTTTCTTGCACTTGCCCAAGTTCAGCTTACTATTCTCCCACACCCACATGGGCTCCTCCTGAGGGTCTGATGTGGCCATGCAGCTCCTCGGCGGGTCACTCAGGCTAGAGTGTGAGAGGTAGCTCTCTTGTCAGAGCAGTCATCAGGTCTGGACGATTCCTTTTTTTTTTTTTTTTTTTTTAAGTGGAGTCTCATTCTCTAACCCAGGCTATAGTCAGTGGCACGCTCACAGCAACCATGGCCTCAACCTGCTGGGCTTATGTGATCCTACCACCTCAGCCTTCCAAGTAGCTGGAACTATAGGTGTGTGCCACCATGCCCAGCTAATTTTTTTCTTTAATGTAGAGATGAGGTCTTGCCAAGTTGCCCAGGCTTGTCTCAAACCCCTAGGCTCAAGCAATCCTTTCACCTCAGCCTCTCAAAGTGCTGGGATTACAGGCGTGAGCCACCACATTGAACCGATTCTAACTCCTAAATCACTTTTTAAATCAGTTCTTTCCTCTGTAGCTTCCAAATACCTTCTAAAAGGCAGGGCATGATGACATCTACCCATATACCCCAGAACAGAAACCATCAACCCATCTCACAGAGGAGGGGTGCCACAGTGCAAAGCTTCACAGCTGGGCCACTGAGGAGGCTCCCAGGAGGGCAGAAGCAGAGGCTCAAGAGAGCCCTTGGCCACCAGCCAGCACGCCTGTGACTGAGCACCCCAAACCCAGGGCGAGGCAGGCTCCACGTGTTACCTCTGCTTTTGGTCCGATGAAGAGGTCCCCCTCCAGGGCTCCAGCCATCACCCGCATGTGCTTAGGCCGGCCAACACTGTGAGGACAGGTAAAGTCAGTGAGGTGAGCAGGAGGCATGGCTGAGCACATGTCCTGGAAAACCAAAGTCCAACTCCAACTGTCCAGAGGATACCCTATCCTCCAAAGCATCAGAATATGGCCACGGAGCACAAGCTGGAACTGGTTATAGGATATGGGCCTCCAGAGTGGGCCTGGGCACGACGGGAAGCTCAGAGTTAGAAGGAATGGGTATCCCTCCCAGAGAGGACTGTGTATATGAGCCCTGTGTATATGAGGCTGGAATCCCAGCCCTCTACAGCCCAGCCCTGGCAGAGGGTCAGCCTCCTGCAACCACAATGACTCAGCCCACACTCTTGACTTCAGCGGGGCAGGGCTCCTGTCACCATTAGCAGACTGAGGGAGGACAGCCCCAGGAAGTTGGGTCAGGGATAACTTGTGCACCCTTCTCTTAACCATTCGATGCTGCCACTTCCTGCTGCCAGGGCTTCTAAAACAGAGATTCGGTTCTTGGAAACTAAGATTTGGTGAGCTGCCATTCCAAAATCGGACCCAAGCTTCCCACACATCAACAGGAACCTTTAATTATGCCCACACAGAGTTCAGAAGGGAGATTCAAGGCTGTAGAGGATGCTCCCTGTCAGCTTTGTCCCTGGATCAGGCCTGGGACTCCTGGTAGAGCCAGACACTTTGGGGGCCTTAGTATTCTCCCCTGCCTCCTGCCTTTAGGCCAGTAATTCCAAAGCCTCTAGGATCCAGGAAGAGGTATTCCTGAGGGACACTCTCTGGGTAGGTTAGAGTGGCCACGGAGCACTCCAGGCTCTCTTTGGGTTTGCACCTCCCTCTTATTCCTGCCACCACCCGCACCATACAGGGAAAGACTCTCTTGACTGCAACAAAACATTGTCTAAAGTCTGCAAATAAACAAGCCCCAAAGAAAACATTTCCAGGGAGGAAAGGGTGGCTGTGTATTTAACTCCCAGCTCTTCCAGCTTGAGTTTAGGTCTCCCCAGAGGAGACACCATCCAGTTATTCCTGTGACTGCTACCACACCCAGTCCCCAGGGAATGCTGGCTGCTCCTCCCCCTTGCTGGCTCCACAAGACTCCAAAGAGGAAGGGGAAACACGGAGTACTTGTCTTGTTCTTTCAGAGCTCTCCTGGGAGGGTCAGCCTCACATATTTGGTATTTTCCCTTAGGAGGTAGGGACAAGAGTTGTCCTCAGAGAGAGCTGTAACACAGGGCCAGTGTTCTCATAGGAAGCAAACCAAGGGATAAGGGCTGCTGCCCAAGCAACACTTACTAGTTTGGGAAACAGTATTTGGGAATCTGGTCTCCTGCAAAGCCAGCCTTGACCACCCCTGAACCCTGCAAAACAAAACAAAGTTTAACTCCTGACATTCATCTCTAGCTAGATGAAGCCAATGTCCTGCAGTGGAAAGAGCTGGCTGCCCCTCCACGGCAGGCGGGGGAAGAAACCAGATACCCTGCCGAGAGGCTGCAATCATTTACAAGTACACCAGTGATTCAAGGATGGGGACAATTTTGTGTTTCCCTGCCCTGGGTACCTTTGGGAATGTCTTGCAACTGGGTGGAACTAGAGGGGGATGCTACTGGTATCTAGATGGTAGAGGCCAGGGATGCTGCTAAACATCTTACAATGCACAGGCCAACCTCCATTACCAACATCATCCAGCCCAGAATGTCAATAGTACAGAGACTAAGAAATCATGAAGTAAAAACTCAAAGGGCCAGTTCCAGGCAGGAGGATCCATGCACTAGCTACTCCCAAAAGACAGAAGAAACCCCTCAGCATGGCTTTTTTGCAACACCTTTCTCCCTCTCCCAAACCCCAGTAGACAGAGGCCATATATGGGGTCTGCTGGGAAGACCACTGGGTGCACAGGATGAATGACACCTTTCCTCCAGTGGCTTCCCCAGAGACTATAAGATGGAGAACTTCCACCTGGAAGCTGGACTTAGGATCCCGAAAAGAACTTTGCATTTAGAAACCTCCCAGTGAAGGAGTCAGCTTCTCAATTCCACCAATCTTTATAACAACCCCCCAGGTCTACAGCAGAAATAAACATCTCCAAGTTGCAGAGGAGGGGTTGGAAACCCGGAGGGGCCATGCACATTATTGGCCCATCAAGAAAGAAAGTAGCCTGAGCCTTTCTGTAGCCTCCTGGAGAGCTGGAGTGACAGCAGGTGCCTAAAGCCATATCTAGGCTCCTTATTGAACATTCCCTGCTGTGACTCAGGCAAGCTCACATGGGTACTCTGAAACAGCCAGCCACTCAGGGACCCCACGGGGTCATATGGGAGGGAGACAGAAACCAGGAAGAGCAGAAATGAGTCATTATCAAAACTCTAAGGCCTATACACCAGAGGCAGACACTCAGCTAGGGGCAGATCCATCAACCCCGACCCTATCTTCTTCCTATGTCAGGGCTCTGAGGCCAGAAATTCTCCAAGGGCTGCTGAAAGAAAGACTAGCACCACTGCTGAAGGGCAAAGGCACAGGAAGCCAGAGATCTTTCCTCTAAGTCTTTCAATTACCCCAAACTGCTTGTCGATGGTGGGAAGAGTGGCCCAGGACTCGCCACTGCTCTGTTAGCTGAGAAATTTTTGCTTCACACAGGGAATGCTTAAGTAGAGGATCATAACAGCCAAAAGGCCAACCAGGTGGTGGTGGTCATGTGGGTGATAAGAGAGTAACTTGCGTTTTCTTGCCTCGGGATGCAGCCCCTCGGGAAGTACTGCTGTTAGAGACCAACAAGCCAAACCCTTCCAAAAGATGAGGCCAGCAGTGAGCAAAAGGGCAAGTGCCCTCCCGGGCCCACCAGGCATTTAGGGCCAGGGCCGAAAGATGGTAAAGGGGCTGAGGCTGAAACCCGCCCGATGACTCCACTCGCAACCAGGAAAGGTCAGAGGTGCGTCCCCCGCCTGACGCACAGGTGCCCCGGCCGGCCACCCAGCTGTCACTCTAGCTCTCCCCAACTTCCCTGCCCCGCTCTGCCGCGATGATGGCGAGTGAGGTGGCTACAAGACCAGGGCTACAGCAAGGTGGCACGCGCCCCGGGGACGAAAAGTGCGACCCGGCGGGGGCGGCGGACCGGTAGTGAGAGAGGACAAGCCGACACCAGCTGGGGTCCCTCCCAGCGCCGCTGCGTGCGCCCCCGAGGGCGGGGCGCCCGCTCTCCCCCTGGCTGCTGGGCCTCACGTTGTCGATGACCACGGGCTGGTTGGCGATGATGTCGTAGGACTCCATGGCCGGGCCGGGCCGGCCCTGCCCAGCAGGCGGGCTACAGGAGGGACCGGAGGCGGGCGGACGGGCGGACAGGGACCGCG